CCCCCCCCCGTGTCTTTCATCTGTATATTCTGTATCTGAAATCTTCAGAGTGTAGAAGAGTCTGGTGATGTTGCAGTGGCTTTATTCCTGGTGCCCCAGTGTTCGTTAACAGTCTCAATATATGTGTGATTCCTAAAAATTGTAAGACCTCTGCTAGCTCCAGGGTAGAGTGTGCTACAAGAGACTGAGCTAAAGCAAAAAGAAACTACACGATTGTGGGTGGTTGTTGATAGAGTCAAACTACATGTTAAAATTTTAAGTGGGAAGAAAACTATGGAATGTTTTCACTAAAGATATGAAGTTGGACAGATGCTAAAAGAAATTAGGTCTTAGCCACTATGACCTTCCTGCTACCCCTCCCCTGCCCCCAAATGCTGTTAAAACAATTGGGATATGACAGTAACTGGCATTTGGGAAAGAATCGGCGTAGCCTATGCATTGTCATTTCTGATGGGAGAGTTGCTGGCATAATAGGAGCCACGAGGTAACGTGGACTTTCAGGAAAGACAGTGTGGCCTTCAGAAGGGGACCATTTCATAGTCTTAGCAGAAGTTTCAACTTTTTATCTTCTGCTTATAGCAAATCCAGTTTGCTGATGACATGCAAGAGTTCACCAAATTTCCCACCAAGACCGGCCGAAGATCTTTGTCTCGCTCCATCTCACAGTCCTCCACTGACAGCTACAGTTCAGGTAGGTGTGGACGTCATCGCCCTAGACATCTCTGTTTCAGAGCCTTGAGCTAGTTCACTGCCCAGTGTTCTGCATTTACCTGAAATCTGAAAATACCTCATGTCAGGACTGCCCATTTTGTGCTGAAAGCTGATAATTAATGAGTGAGTGGGCAAAGTTTGTAGCTGGGGAAGCTTTGTCATTTTGAGACTTTTTCCCCCTCGCACTGTGTGGTCTGTGGCCAGTGCTTGTTGGTTGTGCTGGGCCAGTTCCCAGCCTCTCAGTTACTCAGCCCTATTACCAAAGGAGGCAATCATTGGTATTCTGCTGACAGAACTGGCCTTGAGAAAGAAGTGTACTTTTAGAAGCTTAATTTGTAAAATATTCTTCGCAACCTATCTTTTTCTTTCTTGTCCCAATGAATACGTTAGCTCCTTTTATTTATTTGGTTACCCTTTATGTGGTAGTATCCTCACCTGTTGACATTTGAAGCTAGGAAATTCAAATTATAGTAATGTGGCTGTAGCACTTTACTTTTGGTTCTCCCTTCCTGTCGTAGCCCTACATAAGTAGGGCTTTTTCTGATTGATATTATGCCCCTTCTCAGCTAGAGAGAGGGGGTCTTAGGAACATTAATGTGGAAACCGATGGAGCTTAGGATTTGATTACTGGAACAAACATTATGCTGAGGGGCATCTAACCTAACCCCCTCTTAACTCCACTGAGGAAACTGAGTTCCTAAGAGATCAAGAGCCCCACTGAGAGAGTCACAGAGTAATGGGATGAATGTCATAGATGTAGGGGGTGGCAAACAAATAAACGAAAAAACTCTTGTCTCTGCCCTCAGCCATTGATTGGTTTCCCAGTGTACACAAGCTAGGCAGACAAGAGCAGTTGTGGTATACAGGCTTACGTGCTGAAATGATTGAATATATGAATTCACTATGGAATAAATGGGTTTTTTTAAATAAATTCCAGATTTAATGGCTTTCACACATGAAAAGAGTGAAATATGAAAGGTTGAGTGATAAGAGTTAAGAAAGATGGACTGAATGAAGAAGACTTAAATCTTCAAAGATCTTAATGGCCAGAGAGTGGCCTCCTGGAGCATTGTGAAAAGCTCGATGATAACACTTAATTTTCATAGTGAACAAGACTCTTAATTAGCATTCGTGTCTTCTGCATGGAAGAAGACCCTCTGGGTGGAAGCCAGAGAGACCTGATTGACTGGTAGAGAGCAATGCGGACATTTTTCAGTTCAGAAAGAAGAGTGATTGTTGTGTATCCTCTTAAATATCTATCTGAAACGCCACTTTTAGCTTTTATGTGCAGCTGTTTTTTAAAGTTGGTTGTTACTGACAGACTTTTTCAGACCTGGCAATAAACCAGAGCTGCTTGCCTTGTGTGCCATTTCTTTCCATCCTCCCAGTTCTTGAGCACAACTTCGTGTGAAAGCCATTCTAAGAGTAGCTAATCTCTCTCATCTAGGACAGTGGCGCGCAAAGTGTGCAGCATCAAAAATATGTGTTTACTTGTTAGAAGTGCAGATTCTTGGGCCTCAACCAGGACCTGCTGACAGGGGTCTCTAACTGTGGGCCTCAGAAAACCTGTTTTCAACAATCTTCCATGTGCTGCTTTAGAGATGCTTACGGTTGGGAACCAGTGATCACTAGAAATAGCATTTCTTCTGGTCCTAAATCGTTTTCTGTTTTCCCGGGTGGGCATCGGGTACTCCAGTCATCTGAGGTTCACTGAAGCGGAGGCAGGGTTAGGTTAGTCGCTTCCTGTCACAAGCCCTAGTGACAGAGCATCATCGGCTGGGTAAAAAGACCACAGCAGTTTCATCCATACCACCAGTTAGAAGGGGAACTGAGAGTGATGCCAAAGATGGCTCCAATTAAGAGAGTTCTCTTAAGTGGAAAGAGCTGCACTCTGTGGAATTGGGACCATTGAGGCTTTTCTGCCCTGTCTCTCTCCTTCCTGGCTCTAGCTGCGTCCTATACCGATAGCTCTGATGATGAAGTGTCCCCACGAGAGAAGCAGCAAACCAACTCCAAGGGCAGCAGCAATTTTTGTGTGAAGAATATCAAGCAGGCAGAATTTGGACGCCGGGAAATTGAAATTGCTGAGCAAGGTAAAAAGAGGAAGTGGGTAAGGGATTCAACTAAGCCAAAGGGCCTGAAGCAGCCCTCTCACTGGTCATCCACAAACCATTTGAGGCTTGAAAATAAACTGAAAGATGTTCTAAAGGAAATACAACATCCTGGACTTGTTGCTAAGCCCTCATCTCTGTGTAGAGATTGAGCGTCAGGCGTCTTGTTCTCCCTTCCTCAGTCTCTGCGTGTGGTAACTGTACTCAGAGCAGCTTTTGTCTTTCCCCCACGACACCATTATCCACAGGTCTGTGTTGTAAACTCAGCGTGTCCTGGATCACTACATGGTGTTTAGTTTGCAGAAACCTCCTGTACTTGCCAGTCACCAAACCTATTATTGTCAAGCTGATGCGAACTTGGGGTGACCTTGTAGGACAGAGGAGGGCTGCTTCCTATGGTTTATGAGCAGACTTCTCTGCATGGAGCAGTGGGTTTGGACTACCAACCTTGTGTGTAGCAGCCAAGTGTTTTAACCAGTGCGCTACCAGGGTACCTCTTGCCCATCACAGATAAACAGATTTCCTACAAGCAGCAAGTTTGAGGCTAAGGATGTCTTGACCTAGGGATCTTGTTTGGTCCCGAGCACCCTCTGCTGGAGCAAGAGTGAAAGTGATTGGCAGTTGGTCGGGATTCATGCGCACGCACGCATCTCATTGCTTTCACTCTGAAGGCGTGACTGAGGGAAGACCCTGGAGAAGCGGAAGCAGTGGCTTCTGTGCCGGTCGTCTGTCTTCTTGGTCTGTCGATTATACTGAGGAGCCATTTAGCCGAGGCCCTAGCTACTTCATCTCCTCCCAAAGGCTTGTCTTCCATTTTGATCTGTTTTGGGAATTCTCTTCATTCTTGCTCAGTCCTGTGAAAGCAGCAGAGGAAGAGACGAGTTCCGAGGGAGTGCATGATGGCTCCCCAGCCAGTCCTCGTGACGTGCGCCTCACGCTGCTTGGCTGCAACCGACCAGGCCAGCCCGAGATGCTGCTCAGGCAGGAGTGGATGCCATTCTAGTGCAGACCCAGCTCAAATCCTCTGTTCTTTCACAGACATGTCTGCTCTGATTTCACTCAGGAAACGTGCTCAGGGGGAGAAGCCCTTGGCTGGTGCTAAAATTGTGGGCTGTACACACATCACAGCCCAAACAGCGGTGAGTTTGTGGGGAGAAGAAAGACTTAAAAGGGGAAGAAAGAAGCGGGTATTGTGTTTTGTTTTGTTGCTTTCCTTTACCTGCTAGCCATTATCTAAATGCCAACTATTAGGTGAGGCTTCCCTGTTTCATAATAATGAGGTTCTGTACTTTGCATAGTTAAAACCCACTTAGCAAGCTTGCTTTTAGAAGCTCTTAGTATGATTGTGATAAAAAATTGTCTTCTATTTAAAACTGTTTAGGAACATACCTTTAGAGTGAAGTTAGATTCCATTAAGGTACCTAATTGGATTTGAAAGCCATTTTCTGGTTCCCCGCTGTCACACCTGCCTCTCTGGAGTAGATGGGTCTTGTTCCCTGAGTGAGGTTTGCACACCATCCTGTCTCGGCTTCCTCTTTCTCACCCTGTCTTCCTGCGCGTCTGGACAGGTGTTGATCGAGACACTCTGTGCCCTGGGGGCCCAGTGCCGCTGGTCCGCTTGCAACATCTACTCCACTCAGAATGAAGTAGCTGCTGCACTCGCTGAAGCTGGTAAGTTGGCCGATTCTGCCTCAAAGTGCTTACCTAAGCATAACTCGTGTGTCTTTTATGCCACGGGCGATAAAGCATCAAGAGGAAACCATCACTGTCCCTTATGTACAGTGGAATATTGTGCGTTATGCACCATGGTCTCTGAGAAGGAGGAATGGAGACAGGAACGACGAGGGACATGGGGTGGCGGCTGTCGAATGGAGGGGGTTGCAGCGGATGGGATGAAACAATGTGTTTGAGTCGTTGAATGTTAAACTGATGACGTGCTACTCTGTAAACCAGCTACCTCACCTGCTGGAAGTTTGTAAAGTGAGATTTGAAAAGAATCTAATGATGGGGGAAATGCCTGATTCCGATGTACAAATATTACACTGAAATACCTCAGCTGTTTAGGTCTAAGGTCACCCGACTCTTTTCATCAAAAGCCTCATAGGTTTGGGAGAGGTCATAAAGACTGTTGTGTATTGCTCATGAGGTGCTTTGATGCTACACTGAAAGACACACAGAATACATGCTAGTTCAGTGTTCAGATGAAAGCCATCGCAGGTTCCTGAGCCTCCCATCTGCATAGAATCCTCTGGTTTTTGCTATTCGCTTATTTCCAGTGAGGGTTTATTACAGAAGACTTAGAAGGTTCGGGGTGGGGTGGGAGGAGAATCATAATTCCACTACACCAGAGATGATATTTGACATATTGTTCTTTTTCAAATTCCTTTTTTACAGAGATGAAATAAAACTTGGAATGCATGTGATATTATAGCCCAAATAATAGATCTCTAGAGTGATTTTCCACATCACAGGCATGCTGGAAGCATTAGTTGTAATACTCTCTCAGGTGCCCCTGTGTGTTTTGTCTCCACAGGAGTGGCTGTGTTCGCTTGGAAGGGCGAGTCAGAAGACGACTTCTGGTGGTGCATCGATCGCTGTGTGAACATGGATGGCTGGCAGGCCAACATGGTGAGAATGCGTAACTGACCTACAGTCTAGTTTCCTTTCCCCCTCCAAGCATGGCTCCCTAAATAAGCTTTGGATGTTTGGTCTGACACACTGACTTTGTTGCTAAGAATTATAGCTTGGTGCCTATTCAGAATGGGTGCTGAGTACTGAACGGAAAGGTGGGGGAAGGGTAAGACTAGCTGAACACGTGAAACAGACATGGCAGTGAATTAGAAGGCAATGATGAGGTACCTTTTTTGACTACAATTCTGGTGTTTTTGCTTTGTTTTTTTTAACTTCCCTGCCCCAGCTCTCCTTTTGCATTCAAAGGGCTGCATATTGAAGACTCTAGAGTAAACATGAATCTAGAGTAAAACTGGAAAGCCTGATCTTCATCATTGCAGCCTAGAGCAAACCCCTAGGGGCCTTTTTCACCATTGACACCAACCAGTTCACTGTCTATCCACTGTCCAGACCTGCTCTCAGGAGCTCCAGGCGTGCTCTTCCGAAACGTACAGGGCTCTCTTATTAGTGCAGAAATGGGTTCAAAGTTCCCCCCAGCTCTAGCAGCCTGAATGCCCATAGAAGTCTTCTGGCTGTTCTGTAGATCCTGGATGATGGGGGAGACTTAACCCACTGGGTTTATAAGAAGTATCCAAACGTGTTTAAGAAGATCCGAGGCATTGTGGAAGAGAGCGTGACGGGTGTGCACAGGTAACAGTTCTGGAGCCGATGCTCCTTGTGTCTCGCCTCAGCAGATTCTCCTGCTCTCTGCTAGGCTGCTCGGTTCCAGCTTACTAGTAACTGCGTGGGATATCTGCACTAGACAAGACCCTGGCGCTTTTCTTTCTTGACTAACCTAGGTGACCATACAAGAAAGTTGTTGCTGGTTCTCGTTCACCTGTTTTTCTCTCCCACTTCCTCCACTGAGTGGTTCTAAACCAGTGTTGGGAGTGGGTGTGAGTGTGCCTTGAAAAACCGTATTCAACGCTGTGTTCTAGTTTTATCTTTGAACAAATGGAGAATCCTATCGTAAAACTCTACCTTATACAAACTGGGCAGAATCTGTGTGACTCATGGGGACACCTCAGAGTGTTTCTCGGTTGGGGTCGCATTATACATGTCCTCTCACACACGCACACACCGGGGCCCATATCAGAGTCACTGATATCTCTGTTATCTGAAGTAGCCTTGGGTTTTCAAAGGTTGAGAAATGTTGTAAGGAAATTCGAAAGCGAGCTCAGTTCCTTCCATCTAAAGATTTTCTGTTTTTTCTTTAAGAAGCAGCAGGGGCAGGGGTAAAGAACAAAGAAAGGAGAGATGACAGGGGAATCATCTTCTGCTCCACTATGTTTGGACCGTTAATAAGGCTGGGGAGGGAACCTGAAGAGAAGTAGGTAGATTTTGCTGCATTCTCTGCTTGACCAGCTAACTTGGTGTGTGTTTGTTTTTGTGGCCTCTTTCCCTCAGGTTGTATCAGCTCTCCAAAGCTGGGAAGCTCTGTGTTCCAGCCATGAATGTCAACGATTCTGTTACCAAACAGAAGTTTGATAACCTGTACTGCTGTCGAGAGTCCATTTTGGATGGGTAGGTTGAAATTTATAGAGACTGGAACTTCCTGGGGGTGAGATTGGGAGTGAGTTTCAGCGTTGTTCTCCCGCCTGGCCCTGGCCTTCTCTTGACTTTGAAAGTTGGTCATCGGGCCTCTTTTCATACTGAGCTCAGCCACCTTCTCGCTGGAGTTCTCCTGGGTGTTGCGCCAGACTGTAACTGTGCAGGGGGACTGGGTCTGAGGTCGTCATGGTTGAGTCGAGCCTTGTCTGTTTCCACAGCCTCAAGAGGACCACAGATGTGATGTTTGGTGGGAAACAAGTGGTGGTCTGTGGCTACGGTGAGGTAACTAGCTGGGCCTCAGTGTCTCTCTCTGTCTTATCATAGACTGACTAGAAATGTAAAGAGCCTTGGTGGTGCAGTGGTTGGAGCACTGGGCTGATAACCACAGGTAGGTTAGGGGGTTCAAACCCACCAGCTTCTCCAAGGGAGAAATAAGAGGCTGTCTGAAAGATGTATAGGGGTGTTTCTACTCTGTCCTATAGGGTCGTTATAAGTCTGAACTGACTCACAGCGAGTGTTGGGTGAAGATCTACAGAATGAATAGTCTTCACATTTCACCCATTTGTCATGTGGAGTCAAATCACAGCATCGACTCCCCCAGTTACAACCTGAACCTTCTCTGAGACTTAGTGTGCTGTGACCTAAAGGGTGGAGTCCACAGTGAAGTACATTTGCTTATCTGGAAACTGGAATGTGTTCTGGGGTAGTGGTTCTCAACCCCTTTGGGGGTTCAATGACCCTTTCACAGGTATCACCTGATTCCTAACAGCTGCAAAATTATAGTTATGAAGTAGCAACGAAAATAATTTTATGGTTGGGAGGTCACCACAACATGAGGAACTGTCAGAAAGGGTTGCGGCACCAGGAAGGGTGAGACCCACTGTTCAGGGGATTGCATTGTCAGTAACAGTGAACTGCTCGAGCCTCTCCGGTGAGTTTATGCAGAACAAGAAGTCAGAGGTTACGCTGCTTTTCCTTGGCCTTGTCTCCCTAATGATAACGCATTTCAATTCCTTGGTTTTTTGTTTTTTAAAATTATTGTGCAAAGCTTTACTATGAGCTGCCTGCTAAACTACCTCTGGCAGAGGTTTGCAGCATAATGTGAGTCCATCTCTGCTCTGCTTGGGGTTAGAGGCTAAGTGGTTACAGAAAGGTTAAGGCCCATCTCCCCAAAAGCCCGCCTCGCCCAAGCCCGTGCTGTGAGGAGCCTCTCTCTGGTGTGCAGGTGGGGAAGGGCTGCTGCGCTGCCCTCAAGGCCCTCGGAGCCATTGTCTACATCACAGAAATCGACCCCATCTGTGCTCTGCAGGCCTGGTAAGAGCAAGTAGACCCATTAGGTGCTTTCCGTTCCTGCGGGGCAGGGGTGGTCCCCTTCACCTCTCCCTTCCTGGGTGGACTCCTGGGAGTCGGGAGAGGCCAGTGTATAGTTTAGACACAGCTCCTTTGCCATCCCTGGGATGTAGAGGTGGCTTTGACTTTGCAGGGGTGCGGTTGCCTCATGTTGTGACCAGCTTCTGCCCTTCTCTTCCAGCATGGACGGCTTCCGGGTGGTGAAGCTCAACGAAGTCATCCGGCAAGTGGATGTCGTGATAACGTGCACAGGCAAGTCTCAGCGCTGTGCTGTAGACGCAGGACTGGGAACTCAGACGTGAGATCTGAAAGCGGTCCGGCTTCCTCACAGAGTCGGTGCTGTGTGTCCAGCTTCTTGGAAGCAGCGGGTTCCGGCAGGTCTGGGAGCCTTAGCACGTTTTCCAGAGCAGCGAGCCTGTTGCCTGGGTGACCTTTTCTCCTGCTCAAGCTAAAACGAACTCACAGAGCCTAAAGTGCTGTTCTGCACACTAGCCTCCTCATGCGATTCGTGCCAGTAAACTTCCCCTCGCCCGTGTTCTGACTGAAAGCCAGTTGGTACCATCAGACCCCACCCTCTCTTTCCTCAGCATCCTTATGTCCTTCTAGGAAATAAGAATGTAGTGACCAGGGAGCACTTGGACCGCATGAAGAACAGTTGCATCGTGTGCAACATGGGCCACTCCAACACAGAAATTGATGTGGTAAAGCTTTGTCTATTCCTTTGCTCCGGGGCCTTGCTGCTCCTCCCTCCATTCCAGCCACAGCCTGCTGTGCTTCTCCCTTTCAGACCAGCCTGCGCACGCCTGAGCTGACCTGGGAGCGAGTGCGTTCGCAGGTGGACCACGTCATCTGGCCGGATGGCAAACGCGTCGTCCTCCTAGCAGAGGTACCACCGGGGAGAGCCCTGGCAGTGCACCACAGCAACTGGGGTCAGGGCAGGGAGGAAATGTGTGTGTGCCCTTGTTGCTGTGTTTTGGGGAGGTATCATTTCAGAATGTCTCCTGAGTAGAGCCACTGAAGCATGTGACTAGCTAAAGGGACACGATGCCCTTACCACAGCTGACGCTCCGGTCTTTCAGGCTCACGTAGACTTACAGGAAATCGGATCAGCATGGCGTTCTGCTTTGGAGTGTGTTCTGCCCTCTCCTGACTGAGATACAGGGATAGAGTGCTTTCCTGTTCTGGCCCGACTTGTGTAACATTGGCCTCTCTACCTTTTCAGGGTCGTCTCCTCAATCTGAGCTGCTCCACGGTCCCCACTTTTGTTCTGTCCATCACAGCTACAACGCAGGTGTGTGGCCCTGCACTGGCATGAGTGGCTGGGCGGGATCAGACTCCTGATGGGGGCAGGAGCGGACCTCTGAGTTAGCATTGAGCTGTATTCTCACCCGGTCATTTCCCGGTCATGAGCTATCAACCTGAGAGCTCCTCAAGTACAAAAAGATTCATCAGTCCAGCAGAGAATCTATTTGTGTTTAGTCTTCTTAAGTCATTAACCCAACTGTGACCCCACTGCTCATTTTTGTGCCATGGCTCAGAGCTCTTCCTGTTCTCTCTGGCCCTCCTCCCTCCATAGGCACTGGCCCTGATAGAGCTCTACAACGCCCCAGAGGGACGGTACAAGCAGGATGTGTATTTGCTCCCAAAGAAAATGGGTGAGTGGAGGATGTGGGCACCCCTACACTACTCGGCCCCGCAGCCACCTGGGGTGCTAAGATGATTATCAGATAGACTGCTGTAGAGTCCAGATTCTGACCCCAGCCCATGGTAGGTTAACCTCAGCGCAAATTCTACGCTCCCAGAGTCCGTTTCTTCTTCAGATGCCCTTAATCCAAGGAACTTTAGGAAGTCCAGGTCCAACATCTGTGTCGATCGCTAGGCAAGCCGCCTCATCCCCGAGCTCCTGTCATTCCGGGCACAAGCCATGTGCTGTGTTGGTGTTACGTGAGGTGTCCTCTCTTGCTCTTTAGCTTTCACACAGTGGTGCTGCCTCCTGCGTCTCATTGGTCAGCCCAAATCCCTGACCTCTGCAAGCCAGAATTTCCTTTTTGTTTTTACAAAGGCTTCTCTATGAAGTTATAAATGTGTGCCAACTACCTTATAAATCTATGACCTAATATTTCTTGAGGCCTTTATGGATCTTATCTTTAAAAGATGCTAATGGCACGGGACTCTTTTCGGCTCCCCAGTACCCACGTTGACTCATAATTCATCTGTAGCCCGGTGAAGGAGCTGTTGGGGAGGGTAAGAGTCCTGGGTGGCATGTGATGCCAAAAGTTTTGCCAGAGCAGTAGAGGGAGACGCACCCCGTGTGTCACGTGGAAGTGAAATACCCTGCGGATGTGCTGAGAGAAGCTCCCTGCCGGAAACAACAGCTCTGAGCGCTTTTCTAACTACCTATTTCACGTGAGAACTCTTTGGCAGCTACTCCCTCCATGTTCCACGCTCTGGTAAATCTTCAAATGGAAGAGAAAGGCTTATCTGAAGTGTCACCTCTCCCCTGCCACTTTGCTCCTCTAGATGAGTATGTTGCCAGTTTGCACCTACCCTCATTCGATGCCCATCTGACAGAGCTGACAGATGACCAAGCAAAATATCTGGGACTCAACAAAAATGGGCCATTCAAACCCAATTATTACAGGTAATTTCTCCCTTGTTCTTCCATGGGGCTCTTCTGAAAGGCTTTTTCCCCAGGATTAAACCAAGCAGGCTAGCCAGTGTTCTAAAATAAAGATCGGGCACGGTACCTGACTTTGAACACAAGAACTCTTTCAGAAATTGTATGTCAGAGCTTGGTCTTCACCCCTCCCTTTCTCCCTCCTTCCACTCCTCCAAGATTCTGATACAGTTGGAGTGGGATGGCCCCTGTGCGGGAAGGGCCAGCCCCCAACAACTAATCACAGGATCGATAAGCGCTATTGTATGGTTAATATATGTAAATATTGTAATACAGTCCTAGAGAGCATGAGCGATAGAAGAGAGAGTAAAATGAAGGAGTCAGACACATCTCATGGTAGCATGCTCACCGAAGCCCCGCTTGGTGGTCCACGTGGAGATGGGGGAGGGGAAGGAGGATAAGGGGAAAGAGAACAGGGGAGCGAGGACCGAGGAAGAAAGAATGGGGGATATGTGACCCCCTCCCTGGGGTACGGACAACAAAAGTGGGTGAAGGGAGACGTCGGACAGGGCAAGATATGACAAAATAACAGTTTATAACTTATCAAGGGCTCATGAGGGAGCGGGGGGTGGGGAGGGAGGGGAAAAAAACAAGGACCTAATGCCGGGGGCTTAAGTGGAGAGAAAATATTTTGAGAATGACGAGGGCAATGAATATACAAATGCGCTTTACACAATTGATGTATGTATGGATTGTGGTAAGAGTTGTATGAGCCCCTAATAAAATGATTTTTTTTAAAAAGAAGAAAGAAAGGATGGGGGAGTGGAGGCTAAGAGAGGGGAGCCCTAGAGAGCTCTTTATTGCTAACCCAGGCCTATATATCTTTGGGGGGCGTGCAAGCCCACTAATTACAGGTAAAGACATCACAGGAAGGGGTTGTACTGTAGGTAATATAGCAATGAGGGGGACAATCTAGGGATATACACACAATAGAAAGATGAGGGATTGGGGATAAACAAACATGTGACAAGAAAGGCGGATGCTAGATTCAGAATAGCAGCCTAACTTTGGATGTCACTGAGCCTTCTCTGGGTCTCCATAGAAACCTTTATCAGTAGTGTGTAAACCCCACCTACAGGAACCAAGCTAGTGGTCTCAAGCCTCTAGGGAGAAGTAGCCCATTGTCCTTAGCAGCAGGGAGCAGGCCCTACCTTGGTGGGACCAGACAGGGAGGATGTCTCTAAGCACCTGACTTCCCCCCATATGCTGGCAAATAGCCTCTAATGTTTGACATGTCTTTGGGGGAGACAAAGCTAGGGAAAAGTCTCTTTATAGTCCCACAGGCCCCAAGCAGGGTTATTTTGTAAAAGCTATCAAGATTACCTGAAAATGTGGTCAGAGTGGAAAACCCTGGATTGTCTTCTCAAGGAGCAGGAGCTAAACCCAGAAGTGGCCTCTGAGCACCCTGAGGAAGCCTAGGGCAGCATGCTGAGCCCTGGGCCGCCTGGGTCCTAAGGAGGGGCCACCCTGAGGGGCCAAGGAGGTGCTGCCTTGCTCAGAACTCACCTCCGAAGGACGCAGGTGCTAACCAGCCCACCTCTTCTTTACAGATACTAATGGAACATAGAACCCAGGACCAGTTCCACGAGAACCACACAAGTCTAAAAGAAATATTTTTTAAGATAACTTTTATTTTCCTCTTCTTTCTTTCCTTCCCCCCCCCCTCTCTTTTTTAATTTTATTTTTCCCCATAATTTCATTCTTAGTTTTTCATCTCATTATCCAAGTTCTGCAGACCACCCAGGAACTTGCTTCACGGCTCTTTAGATGAAACTGAGGTCAAGATTCCTCACCTTAGTCACTAAAGGAGGATTTTATTCTCCCAGCCCAGAAAGGGGATTCGCTGTTTACCACTTCTGGGGGCTGGAATCTTACCAGGGTACCTTATTACCAGGAAATGCTAAGGTACTTTCTACGTGGAACAATCTGCAATGTCTAAATTGCCTTAAAAGAGCCCCTTTCTTAGCTGCTGAGATCAGGTCTCTCACTTCTGCAGAGGAGCAGGGGCGGTCCCTTACCAGCCAGATAGGTTAGAGGTAGGAGGTGCATGCAGATCCCCTTTGCAGTTCCAAGCCCTGCTGCCAGTGTCAAAGTGGTCTGTCTGGTTCAGAGGTGTGTCCTAGTGTGTTGGTTGGTGGTTAAGGTCCAGTAGGTCCACTTGGATGTCCTACAGCCCTTTCTCCATTCCCACCTGACCCTCTCATATTTCTAGTTTTTAACCAGACTGCACTTTATTATGTTGAATTTTGTTCCCTGGTATTTTATTTCTGTTGTACAAAAAAGAAAGAATGAGAGAAAACCCTTTAAGGACAATTTTAGTGTTAACACTGAGGAACTGCTCCGGAGGTTGGGGGTGGCTGTTACCAGTCTCTCTTCCGAACCCTCGGCGCTAAGAGTGCAGCATTGAATCTTGTGAGCTGCTGGTCTCACTCAGCAAGCCTGTCTGTTTCTCGTCCGTAGTTGATGGGAGCGCCAGCTGGGGCCATGGCTAAAACTCCTCCCTGGCCCCGTGCAGCTTGTGCTGGAGGCACATGACTTAAGCCTCCCTCCGCATATGGCACTGAGCTCGCGCTAGGCTTTATCCTTTCAGAGCAAGCTTCTGGTCGGCTGTGCTTCTGCAGCCTACGATACTTAACGGGCGGTAGATCTGGAGAGGGGGGCCACAGAAACTTGGGCCAGGACAAGGGAAGTTTCACTCTATGCCATTTGTCTGGGACTTGAAGCCCTGCATAATACAAGTTTCACAGCAACGGTGACATGGTGATTGACACATACCACACAGTTGCTGAAGCAAGAGGGTAAAGGACAGTGGGGAAGAGAACATGATCGGGGGCCCCTGGCTCAGGCTCTGGTGGAATCCACGGGGCACGGGCACGTCCCCCTCCGCCATTCCCCCTGCTTACCAGCATCTCTGCATGCATGGGCCAGTGAGCTTTGTTCTGCTCATGAGCTTTAACTATATAGTATCCAGATTCTGAGTCCTCCACTTGTTCTCACTGGTGATCCTTCAAAGTTGAGTCTAGAAGGGACTAGAAATTTTCTTTCTCTGGGGCCTCTCGTCAGAGAGACAGGTGTTAAAAACAGGAATATAAGCAAGGGAAGCTTTCTCCCACCTGCAGTGCCCCAGCAGGGGACAATTGTCTTGCCAAAACTTTTTTCCCCTTTCTGCTGCTCCTCCTTACTCCCACCCTGCCCCTTCCCACTCCTTGCCAGTGTGACCAGCTTCCTTCAAGCCCTTTTCCCCAGGGCACTTAACCAGCCAATCAGAACCAGAACACCACATCCATTAGGGGAGGCAGCCTGGCCAACAGTGTATGCGTCCGTCGTGTCTGCTCTGCTGGAGGGCAGGGCCCAAGCTCAGCCCTCTGGCCTGACCCTGCTCCCATCGCTCTGACGGTGTCCATAGGAATAATGGGTAAGGGCTCCATCCCTGTCACTGTAACAAAGGACACTGGAAACTGTCTGGAATCAGGGAGCGTGTGGAGAGCAACTTGGGAGGAACAAGTTTATTTTGTATTGAATAATTTTTAATGAATGCAATATTAATCCTTGCAGATGAGCAATAATCATTAAAGTCAATTAATGATGAGACCTTATCGGGAGTCTTTGTCATTCTTGGTTGAATAGCAAACCTTTATAGGGACCTCTCTTGCAGAGGGAACCACTCACCAGTCCGGTGTACGAGAGGAGTGGGCAAGATTCCTCGGAGTTCATCAGTACTCGGGGAGCCTGAGGCCCCGGGCCTGGGCACATTCACTCTGACCTCCTTCAGAAGCAGACCTCTTGTTTAAGGGCTTCTCTCACGCTGCTTTTTCCTTACCCACAGGCCAGCCAGTAAGTGTCCACTAGATGTGAGGTCTGGTGTGGGTGTGGTCCTCTTGGGAGCTGGGGGTGTGGCCTGAACCAAGGAGTCAGACCCCAAAGTAGGATGAGGAGAGGATCCATGCAGGGGACAAGGGAACAGCAGCAACAGCAGATGGTTTAGAAATAGGGCTTGATAGAATCTGCAAAAGCGTCAAGAAAAACAAGCCCTGTTCCGTATGTCTGAAATTGGAGAGAGAAAAGGTAGGAAAGGGACTCATACTGTGTTTTCAAAATGAATTCAACAGTATGAACTCAGATTTCAGCATTGCTACAGAGCTGTAGATGAATATGTGCATGTGTGTGTTTTGGAATGGGCTTCCAAAATCTCGTGGAAAAATCCCATTCTCTTCAGAGTTCCGTTTTTCCACAGACTTTTTTTTTTTTTTTGCTCATGGCTTTTTGAAGCCCCCTCCGAGGTGAGCGTGTTTGTAAGTGTGTACATACATTCCCTAGCTCCTCCTGCATGAGCCTTTGGAGCAGCCGCCCACCTCCTGCACCATAGTATGCACACCTGGCACGCAGATCTAGCCACTCTGGTCCCACTGACAGCCCAAGACTCCTTGGAGAAAGGACCAGGCCATGGTGGACCAGAATCAGGACAAACTGAGCCAGAAAGCCAAGAAGCACTCGAACTACGGGACGTGTCCAAAGGACACAGGCCAGCTTTAAGGAGTTTGGAAAAGTTGGGACAATTGAGCACATAACATTAGGGTCTGTAACCCATTGAATAAAATAGGTCATTGTGTCTCTAAGAAGCTTTGGTGGTGTAAATGGGTAAGTGCACTGCTTGACCTCATCCAGCAGCTCCATAGACGAAAGACCTGGCTTGGACATCCCCTCACAGAAGGGTCACAAGGAAGGAACGAGTCAGCCAGGGTGAAGTCCAGCACCAACACACAACATTCCTCTAGTTCTTTAATGCTCCCCTCCCCCCAAACTATCATGACCCCATAGCATGTACACTGGTACAGATAAAGCTCTCAACACACGGAATCCAGGATAGATGAACCCCTCAGAGTAATGGGGAGTCGTGATACATGGGGGTGGGGGGGGAGAAATGGGGAACCGATCGCAATGATTGAAGTATAACGGGCTCCGCACCACCACCACCAGGGGACGAACAACAGAAACAGCAAAGGGAGACCGCAGACAGTGTAAGATGAAAATTGAAATAATTTATAATTTATCAAGGGGTCATCAGGGAGGGAAAAACCAGATACCAAGAGCTCAAGTAGAAAATGTTTTGAAAATGATAATGGCAACATGTACAGATGTGCTTGATACAATTGATGTATGGATTGTTTTAAGAGCTGTAAGAGCTCCCAATAAAATGATTTATTAAAAAAGAAAAAGACATGGCTGTTTCAGTAAAGATTTCAGCCCAGAAAACCATCTTGTCACATTGGGTGGTTAGGTTAGAAATTGACTCAAAGGTACCAAACAGCAACATGTATCTGTGTGCAAATAAAAAGTGTGATGAGAGATGTGATACAGACCTAGTTTCAAAGTACCTCGCCATAAAATTCCCTTTATTACAGTGGGGAAGTCACTTCACACGAGACCCCTGGCTGACCGACCGCCTTCCGAGAAGAAGGAACATTTGTAATGGGAGAAATCCTAGTCCTCCACTGTGGAGGCCCCTGCCAACAAAGCAAGACCTGAACGTGATCTCGAGAGCAGACAAGGCCAAATTGAGAGACATGGTGCAAAACAGTGTCAAAGTCAAAAACCAGGCAACAGTTATAGACTGAAGGGGAGTAAGATGGCTGTGAAACACAATTCTGCCTTTGATCATTTTGCTCTGAAGGACGTACACTAGGGAGTGGCAGGCCATTACGTCAGCAACTTACCAAGGGCTCCCGAAACAAGTGACTAGCACGAGCTAGTTGGGATCTGCAAAGTCAGCAGCTCGAAAGCACCAGCCACCCAGGGAGGAAGATGGCGCTCCACTCCCAGGAAGAGTTCTCGGTGTGGAAACTCACAGGGGGACAGTGGAGTTTGGAAAACTATGAGTCATGATCAACTCGGCGACCGTGAGTGATGTCTAATCTTGATTATCGCAAAGCCAAATACTAAACAGCTCCACAACTAAGAAAAAAATTTAGGAATATCTTAACCCAGGTAATTTTAAAGGTAAAGTCTTCCAGGCTAGTGAAAGAATCCGACAGGAGAAAACATGTTGAATTTCCACACAAAACAAAATTTCAGTGAAGATACATCACTAGTCATAATACCTGACAAGCACAGGATCGAGCACCTGGACTAGGACCAGGAAAAGCCAGGTGAAGAGTGGAGGGGCGATTGGGTACCCAGCGTACTTGTTTCATTCAGAATACTGAGCATAGTCTCACTTGCCAAATCATTTCTGATTGCAAGAAACGGCTACAGAAATCGGTAGATTTTTCATGACTGTGAGACAAGAATTTACATCATCACTGTGATCCCTCAGTGAGGCTATCCAAGTGCAACAGATCAAAACAGACCGGTCCAGCACTATCTTGACAGCTGTTGCCATGGGTGAGCCGCGCGTTGCAACCACTTTACCAATCCATCTTATGGAGGGCTTGAACCTTTTCATTGACCTTGTACTATACCAAGTAATGTCCTCCAGAAATTGGTATCTCTTGGTAATATGTCAAAAGGACATGAGTCAGACTCCCCATCCTAGCTTCTAAGGAGAAATCTGGCTCTACTTCCTTCAAGACATTCGTCCTCTGACAGTCCAGGACACTCCGTATTCTTCGCTACCACTCTAATTCAGTGGTTCTCAGCCTTCCTAATGCCCAGACCCTTTCATACAGTTCCTCATGTGGTGGTGACCCCCCAACCATAACATTATTTCTGTTGCTACTTCATAACTGTAATTTTGCTACTGTTATGAATTGGGTGACCCCTGTGAACGGGTCATTCGTTCGACCCCCAAAGGGGTCATGATTTACAGGTTGAGAACCACTGCTCTAATTCAAAGGCTTCACTTCTTTGAGATCAGTTCCCCTTTATCCCTTCCCTCCCCCATCCTATCCCCCAGGAACCCTTATATTATATATCATAATTATTATTTTGCCCTATCTTTCACCATCCAATGTATCGATTCACCTACAATTCTGTTGTTCATTCTCCTCGAGTGGGGTTATACAGTCACGATTGCTATCGGTTAAAGCTCTTTCTTATACACACATGTCTTTGGATTTTTCTTCCCTAGTCTATCCAGCCTAACACAGTGGATCATTGCAGATTATGAGAATGGGAATTCCAGAACACTGAATTATGTTCACAAGGAGCCCATACCTAGACCAAGAGACGGTTGTTTGAAACGAACAAGGAGATACTGCGTGGTTTAAAATCAGGAAAGGTGTGTAGCAGGGTTGTATCCTTTCACCATACTTAATCAATTCGTATTATATGAAGAACATGGTATCAGGTTAGAAGGCAGACTCATTACCAACCCACCATATGCAGATGACATAGGACTTGAGGCACTTACTGATGATTAAAAAATACAGTCTTCATTCAGTATGGATTGCACCTCAACATGATGAAAAAATCCACAGGTGAACCAATAAGCAACATCATGATAGAAAATACTGAAGTGATCAAGCATTTCATTTTACTTGAATCTACAATCAATGCTCATGGAAGCAACATTCCAGAAATCAAGTGATGTATTTGCACCGTGTGACTAATCTGCTGCAATACACCTCTTAAAAACATTAGAGCAAAGATATTCCTCTGAGGACTCAAGTGCACCTGACTCAAGTCATGGTCTCATCAACTGCCTCAGATGCAGGTGAAAGCTGGGCACGAATGTATTCTAATGAATGACTGAGCTTCTCCACTATCTCCTTCCACAAATGTAACTGATTTGATTTCTGTTTATTCCATCAGGTGAGGTCGATATATATGTATAGTCACCATGTATGTTGTTGAAAAGTTATTTCCACTTATTCGATCATTGGTCTGGAAAATTGTATCATGGCATCTCCAGCATTGTTTCTATCACTGTGTTAGTATGGGCAAACTAGGGAAACAAATCCACAGAAACATATATATATGAGAGGGTTTTATAGAAAGGGTAATTGTACATTAAGAAATCATCCCAACACAGTGCTGTCCAAGCCCATAAGTCCAACATTAGCCCATATGTCTGACACGGATCTACAAAGTCCTCCTCCATCTCACAAAACACATGCAATGATGTTAAGTGCAGGAGGAAAGCTGAAATCAGTGAGCGTGTAAGCACCTCAGCGCTGGCAGGGGACTCCACAAAGCTGTTCCAGCACCCAGGGCTGCATCAGGGTAGGACCATGTGGCTTCTCAGGGATGTCTCACAGGAAGTGAGCCTTGCCAGCTGAAGCAGGGAACTGGCTAAGGCAGCTGCACCCTGGTCTGACCATCAGAAAGCAAGAGACCCGAGAACTAGAAAGGCGAGTCTCACCAAGCTATTTAGCTCTGTGCCCTTCAATTAATCCCACGTGTGTTTATCTGCCAGGTTGGCACAATAAACCTTAACTATATCAATCACCAAGGCCATTTTTTCTGACTACTGATCCTTTTCATTTATCTTCAACTTCCACATTCCAGTCATCCACAACTATTAATGCTTCTCAATTTCAAGTTTGATCAGTTTCAGGCTGAAGGCTGTAAAGACCTTTTATTTCTTCACCTTTGACATTAGTGGTTAGTGTGTATATTTGAATAACAGTCATCCTCACTGTTCTTCTTTGAAGCCAGA